TTGTAAGTCGCTTTGGATAAAAGCATCTGCAAAATGACTAAATGTAAATGTAAATGTAATCAAAAATGACCAGGTTAAAAACAGCACCAGCAGGTTATTCCTGACAGGATGCAACTCGGTAACACAAACGTAGTGATCATCAGGATATATTATCTTTAAGACAGATGCACTGAAGACGGACACAAAGAGGAGAGAATAGTCGCGCAAGCAGAGAAAATACTGTACCGTTACCAGACAGCATAGGCGCAGGACGTGGGTGTGCTGGGTGCTGCAGCAGAACTTTAACTGTTTAACTGTTGGGATTAAAAAAAAATCGGAGTGTCTATTTACACTAAGTGCAAATAGCCCGCCTTGTTGGCAGAGGCTTACACTAATTCCACCCACCAACGTGTGATTGGGCTAGTCATCATTACAAAAGATGGTTATCAATCATTAGATTCAGTGGCACAAATAGTAAAATTTGTGTCATACTCCTTTTGACGCGATTTTGTATATATAAATCCTTTTTTTTTTTTTTTTACACCACAATCAAAAGAAAATTGTACACCTACAACACTGCACACCCCGGTACGCTTTAAATCTCTCAAATTAATGGACATTTATGTGTAGGCCTACATGTGCCCATTCATCTAGTGTTTTGATCCGAGGCGTTCAGCTGGACTGTCTCAGAGCTGTCCGGACATAATGGCAGTAATCAAAGCCCACCATGCGATCGCTGGTGAGGAGGACAGTAATGATATGGACGCTGTCCCGCAGCGCAGAGCACACTAGTATCTCTTCATATTCAGAGCACGTATCTAATGTGTTCAGAGCTGTCCAGGCAAGTGCAATGTCATTAGACTGACCACTGCACTGTTGTGTTGCATCCCATTACCGTTCAACAGCGCTGGTCGTGGAGTCGGGTCACCCCTAACCGTCCCTATAATTTCTCGCTTCACAGTCTGTGCTGTGGACAATTAATGCGTGCTGCTTGAATACTTCATAGCTCATTAATGAGGGATCGTTTATCACGGCTAAAGGAAGAAAAACAAACATGTGGACAAGATGCAAATAGTAGAACAGGGTCTAAGAAAACAGTTTCTTTTAAATGTTAGAGAATTATAGTTAAGCTGTTCAGACGCGCAGAGCAGTCTGTTATTTGGACGTGGATTTGTGTAACGTTATTCAATTTTCCAACAGATGGCAGTATTTGGCAAATTAAAATTGGGCTGTTATGCCAATTGCTAAAAATGTTGATGTGTGATGAGAAATATATCAAATTAATATTTTGAGCTGCATGCAAGGTTGTAAAACTGGATTTCTTTAGTCCCATATTGTAGTTGTATAAATGACAGGCTGAAATTCTGATTTTCCTACGAAAAAAGTATATGTGAATATGCTGCAAAGTAAATAAATACATTATATATATA